TGCGAAGAAATGTCGGTGGATGAGAACAAAAGTAAGAATCCGTAGGGAGAATCCGTCGAGGATTCTATTCGATAGTTTGGCCAATTGACATTTCTCAGCACACACAGACCCCACAGCAGTCACCACTAGCTTCAAAGACGCCTACAGGTGTGGTGCGTACAGCCTTCAAGTTCTGTTGAGACCCGACAATCATGTAGGGAGAACTCTGTGGTGATGTGGTGAGAGGTCTGTCTCTTGGTCGAATCCGTGGCAAATCAGGGCGGTGGGGGTATGCCCGTCCAAACAAATCCGTCGGGCCAACTTTCGGGAGAGCCATAAGAGTCAGCCTAATTCACGCTTTCCTCAAGCTTGCTGTCCTTGTTTTTTTCTTTTTCGCCGGTGCCATCTCTCCGACTCTTCTTACGGTATGTTCGCGGGAGGTGATCTGCGGGACACACAAGGACACAGATACATACATAGATAGATAGGTGATCCGGGTATGTTTTGCTCGGAGGCGATCTGTGGGACATAATATATATGTGTCTCTCTGCTCCGAGGTGATCTGTGGGACAAAGATAGATGTGGCCTGTATGTAGTTTATGTAGCTCATAATCTGTCCGATCGTTCACGATCGGACGAACAACTACACTGTACAAATTGGTATAGTCTATGCTACAGCAGTATACATCGTGACACGTGGGGTCCACGAGCTACGAGCGCGGATGGGCCGATCACGTCTAGACTCTATTATTTCATCAGTCAGGGTTGTACATTGTCAACCGGTCGCCCCGGTGGTCTACAGTAGTGGGTAACCTCGCAGCGTGCTAAGGGCCAGGCCATGGGTTCGGGTCCCGACAGAGTGAGTTTTTTCTCGCTAATTAAATCCTGGTCTCCGTTGGAAGCTACGCGCTGCAAAGTGCGTTGTTAGTAAACTTGATCGACTTCACAAGTAAGTCGCGAGGGAAGGGATTGCTGTACCCTTCTTTCTCGCGATAAAAATATCTCAGGCAGGAACCGCAGGAGGTGGTCCCAACCCCCCCCTCCTATGTGACCCCGGTTGGGTCGTCTAGCTGGTAGAAGTGGAGGATAGGGGCCAGAGGGGCAGACGACAGAGGAGTCCAATGATGGGAGGAAAAAAAAAAAAAATGGTGATGGTGACCAACAACCCGTTCTCCACTACTCTCCCAGCAGCTTCCAGCGATATCTCCCCTCTGCGACAAAATATGTGGTGAACGTGTGACTTTAGGGTTATCCCAGGAGTAAATTCAGAGTGCAGTGCCATGAACCGTGGTCCGCACACCGCAAGCACGGAGACCTATTGTTGTTGTTGTTGTCTTCAATAATCCCTTAATATAAACCGGAGTATGTCCGTACTGATCCAACACTTGACGCGGTCGATTCCGGGACCCACCCGTGGTCACAGGCTAACTTACCCCAAAAAGGTACGCTCAAACAAACTGTAATGATTCGTCATCACTAGTGGGGGGTTGGTGCAATGGTGCAGCGTTGGGGGGGGGAGGATTGGCTAAAAGAAATTCAATCCGGCACGTATCACGCCACTCGGTCATGCATACCGCTTGTAGATAACAGAGACTGTCGCGGTGTGCACGCCTCGTTCCATTAATTGTGTGGGATTTGTCTACCAGCCCCTGCCTAGCCAAAGCATCTGTAACAACAAAACAGCACCCCGGCCACGGCACCGGACTCTCCGGCCACGGAGGGTGTCCATCCCCCAACCTCCCGTTGAGCACGTGTTCTCCTGGAGCAGTAAGTGTGGTTGTGGGGGGATGTGTGCTGCGCACGTACGTACACGGGACAGGACCGACAAGTCTGTAATCTTCATCGTCAAGAACGTGGTGATTGCTTGCGTTTGTGCCAGATGAAACAAGCCAAAGAGAAAATAGGAGGAGCGCACCCATGCAGGACACTCTGAATCGGTACCCCGACGTACCTGCAGCTGGCACAGCAACAGGCAGAGGAGGGCCGCTCTATGTGTGATGGAAACTTCATGGAGATGGTTGTTGTTGTTGTTGTGGTCTTCACATTAAAACCGCTCCGGTCTCCGCTCAATACCTTCTAATGTCCGTACTGGTATAACTGACGCGGACGCCTTCCGTGGTCACAAGCTAACTGCCCCAAAGGGGTTCTAAAACTAAACACTGGACACCAGAAAAATTCCTCCCATGCGCGATGTGTTTTTTCTACCCAAACGAAAAGAAGAAAAAGGAAACAACTAAGGAAAAGGTTCCTAACCGGGGTACAGTGCTCATCGCACATACATATATATTCTCTGCGACACCGGTGAATGTATAGCAAAAAGTATGTGGCTTCTATAATTTATTTTTTCATGTTCTGTTGTATTTTTTCCGATCGTGAACAATTCATTCCCCGTTCACGTCAAGACCAATAAAACGCCGCGAAAGAGGGCATAAGTGCACATGCACAGCAGTCTATGTGAAAATAATTCATAACGGCCTCATCACGTGAAGAACGAAGGGCAAGTGTGTGGGTAGCACCGAACAGACAGTCGTTGAGCGTAGCGGGGAGGAGGAATAAAGACACGGCCCAAAGAATCGAGTGACCCGCGAGACGGGTATCACAAACGACACCGCTGTACGCCACTATATCGATTGCAACGACTTTCGCTTATCTCTGGCGCTCCCCGTTCGAACTCCTTGTCCGCGAGACAGCAGGTGAGACGTACCCACAGCGTTTGTTCATGGTTTCCTCGATGATGATGCCGTTCATGACACGCTGGCGGAAAATCGGATTTGATTCCTGCTTGAGAGGGCTGGTCCTCCATGTCGCCGGCCTTGGGTGAGGAGCCTCTACACGTATGCCGTGCATGGAACAAACGCGTGAGCGTACGGACTTAACGCAGTTGAAACAATGCAAACCGCCCGTGGCTTTAATTTGAAGGGCTGTTGTGATACTGCCACGGTGCTTTCTTTGAGACGGGGTTTCGTTGTTTTGTGAAATGCTTTTTGCACAGTGATCCACTGCTGCTATGCCCCCCAAAGCTTGGTTCATTCCAGCTGACTGCTGGTTCGAACAAAATGATTTTCGTGCATGGCGGCATGCATGAACTTCATATGCCGGGAATGAAATGGAGAACACGTATCGGTCCCTTGTGTACCAGCAGCAACAACAGCAGACTGCGTCCTCTCCGCCGATGAGGCGAACGGACCCTCCGCTGTGGTAGTAGAGTCCAAGGAGGGTGCTACTGCAGGGGCGCCACTGGGAGCCAGACGAGGGTCCGCGTGCGCGACGAACTGCTTTCGAGTGGGTCTCGGCTGGTTGAGTGTGCGGAGTCCCATGGCGGACTGCGGTGGGTGCAAGTTACGACGTGACAAGCCGCCGCGTCCACTTGAGGGGGGCTTTGGCGAGTAACATGGGTAGTTGTGACGGCACCATTTAATCGTTTTTCAGGTCCACATGTATTACGAAACACAGCACCAACGCCGGATTCACGTGCATAGCCAAAAATGCCGGCGAATAAAAAAACCATGGTGGTTGTTTGTTGCGTGCATGTAATTTTTTCTCTTGTCTAGTCAAACCGTCCGTGTCAAGCGACACCGCGTGAGATTCGAAATGGCCACCTCGACGACATATTACTGTACAGCAGGAGTATTATTATGCAGCGTGTGTGCCAGTTACCAAAGTTGTTAGCCGCACCAGAGGCCGGGTCGTGGTGGAAGGACCTCGCGACGTAGTTTCAGCACGCTGCTGCAACAACAGCAACGCATCCTGACACCTCTTTCGCCAATCCAAAACAACTTGTCCACAAAGCCACCCGGCCAAGGCAAACCATCTTCCCAAAGCCCACTACTACACTGCCATGGCTCTCACCGCAACAGTTCACCTGTGGACGTCTGACAACAGCTACATGTCAATGCAATAAATGTAACGCTAATCTCTACTATTGGTCTAACTATGTCCCACCTACCCAAACCCACCCACATCCACAACTGACGTGTCAAACTCAGGTAAAACCCGCAAGGGCAAAACCGAACTTAATGGGTAGCCCCACAATGAGGATGTCGGCCAACCTCGACGGGATAAAACAAAAACGATTGCGATGAACACCCTGCGCGAACTCCACGAGCACAGTGCACACAAGACTTCACTCCCAGGAGCCATTTTCACTCTTTCCATCTCGCGCGGGCTCCGCGGAATTGAACCCCCCTCCTCGTACCAGACCCCCGTAGCCGAGGTCGCCAAGCGCCTGAAACTTTGCCAACATCAACCATAGGCGCACCCAGGGTGATTGCGTTTCACAAGGGTTCCCGGTTGCCTCCCTGGTCGAACAAACAAAACAACATCCAAGAAAATAGAAACGATCTCTCTCAAGCCCTGGCTGGTACAACACGACGGGATCTTCGTGTGTTCCATCTCCAAACCAGACGAGACAAATACCTCTCCCCCCCCCCCCAACCCCTAGGACTCTAATGATATGCATGAAACAACAACAAAAGCCGTCTCTCCACACGGCACCACCGCTCTCTCACTTTTCGAAACATCAACGTCAACAGCCGGGGTTGGTTGCCGTGGGAAAACGAAGAACCGAAAACGATCAGCTCTTTTCGTCGACACATGCACGGTACGCAACCCCACCCACCCAAAACCTCTCTATCCGTAACGCCCACTATTTTTTTTTTTTTTCTACCAATGCCAAATGAGCTAGCTGCACGGACGAACGCGACGTTTTAGGCGCACGCGGGGGTGGGTGGGGGGTGGGGGTGGGGGGGGCATCAACGGTCAACTCTTCGTGCCCCCCTCCTCTTTCACCTCGCTTCTTCTAGACAACACATCCATCAAAACGCGAACAAACAACAAAAGCCCCGCTTCCTCTTCGTCGGTCGTCGTCCAAACGTGTTCTATCTACCCCTGTTCCTGCGGCACCGCCCCCCGCTGACAACGACCACAGCTCGCCCGTCCTCAACACGTGCCCAAGATGCTTAGCGAGCGCTGCGCGCGGCGCATGGCCTTCAGACTCCCTCTAGCGGGGCGGCATAGACATGGGAGAGCTGAACTGGAAGGCTTGGCTCGGGGGAGGCTCCGTGGTTGAAGCCTTGGCGTTGGCCATGTCCGCGAGGTCGAGGGTGCTGTTGCTGGGGCGCATCATCTCCGCCTGAACACAGAAACGAAAAAAAATCAAAGCAAACATTAGGCGGCGTCGACACAAGAACGAGAGAGAAGAAAAAAACAAAGCATACGTTAGCAGGCGTCAACGCTAAGAACGACAGAGACGAAAAACCAAGGCACACGTTGGGCGCCGTCAACGCCCTGAACGCCCTGAGTGCCGTTTGACCTGTACCCAGAACAAGCGACAGAAAGGAGGGTGGGACTCAAGTCCATCTTGGGATTTGAAAGGGGCGGCAAAAAAGAAGGAGTACGCAAACGGATCGCCGCGCATGCAACGGCCCTGATGTAGATGTTGAAAGAATAAGTAAAATTTTCCTGACTACGAAGATCGCGCATGTAGGCGCCACCGTCGCAGTACAAGCACAAAAAAGTGTAACGTTTGAAAACAGGAACATCATCGTATCTTCCCCGGAGGTTTCTAACGGTATGTACCACGGAACGCATCATCCGCCACCTGAGGAACCGGAAACATCCTTCGCTTAGAGCGTGGCCTCCATGCTTTCCACAAGACAGGGACTTGAGCGCACAGAGCAGCAGTGTTGAATATACCCGGGCTCAACGCTTCAAAAAAAATCAAGAGTAGAAGAGTGTGCTTGTTGCCGAATGCGTCTCCTCACCCGGTTGGTGGGAGCCGCGTCAGGCCCGTCCCCTCCCAGAGGCTGCATCATGTAGCTGTAGCCGCCCGACCCCGTCGAGTAGACCGACCCGGCCATGCCCTCCTCGCCGGCTCCAACACCGGCGCCGCCGCCGCCGCCGCCCTGCTGCTGCTGCTGGAGGGGGCTGCCGTTGATGCCGATGAACGATCCTCCTCCCCCCGACATGATCTGTTTGGACCACAAGGGAACATGTAAATCAGTCTGCGAGCCACAACAAGGAATGGATACACTTATGACCGCGGCCGAACTAGAGTTTCTTTTCCCTCTGCACTTAAGGCTGACGTCTTTTCATTGGCGAGACGGAGAGGGCGGTCGGTCAATGCTCTCTCTCTCTCTCTCTCTCTCTCTCTCTCTCTCTCTCTCTCTCTCTCTCTCTCTCTCTCTCTCTCTCTCTCTCTCTCTCTCTCTCTCTCTCTCTCTCTCTCTCTCTCTCTCTCTGATTCTCTCCGCCACTTTTCCCTCTATCCTTTAACGCTTCCTTCCTTCTCTCACCCTCTGCTTGAGGAGCTCGAGCTCGGCCGCCTGGGCCTCCACGATCTTCTTCAGCTCCGAGCTGGATTCGAGGGAGTCCTCGTCCACGCCGGCAAGCTCCTTGTTCATGCGAGCGTACTTGAGGATGTCGTCGATCACCACACCCTCCGACAGGGCGTTGTGGAACAAGAGCCACGTCTGGAGGCGTGTGTGCGCGCGGAAAGGGGGGAGGAGGGGGGGTGGACGGGATACGTGTACGCCGGGATGGGGAAGGGGCGTGTGGGTGTGTGGAGGGGACACGTCGGCGGGTTGGGTTGAGAGATGGTATGCCACTTGGGGGGGGGGGGGGGGATATACTATTCACTCCATCTACAAGACGGCGAAAACAGGGCAACCACAAATGGCTCTAGGTTAAATACCTTTGGCAATTCACGCTCCGTACTCGCCGCTCCGCATACACACAGAAATCATGAACGCAAGTTTTTACCGTTCTGAGCTAGATTTTGGAAGGTTTGCCGTAACACGAAGTACGGAGAAAACACACAAAGATACAAGCACTCACGGGGTCCCAGATCATGGCCTTTAGACGCATTTGGTGTTTTCAACCGAAGTGAGACTCATGTCTTTTCACTGCCCAGCCGGTCAGCGAGGTCAATGCTATCAACAAAAACCATGCCCTTCAGTAGAAGCATTTGGTGCTTTCAACCGAATTGCGACTGACGTATTTTCAATGGTCACCGGGTTTGTGCGGTCGATACTGTCAACAAAAAAAAACACGAAGCCACACATACCTGCACCAAGCTCGGGAACTTCAAAGCCGACAGCAGGAGGAGGATGATGAACAGGAGGTGGCCGATGACGAAGTCGTGGACGTGCCACGTGAAGCGCGCGAACTTGAACCCCATCAGGAGCCCCACGGTTGACCCCGCCGCCGCCACGTAGTAGAGGCCCACGGCCACCTTGGTGTACCTGCGAGAGAGAGAGAGAGAGAGAGAGAGAGAGAGAGAGAGAGAAACGATTTCGAGCGGGTTCGATTGTTTCGGATCATCGTGATCAGCGTGCGAAGCTTTTCAAACGACTTCGAATGTGTTGGGTCTTCGTTCGTCGGTGGTCAAGAGCGAAACATGTTTCAACCGGATTGGATTGTTTTGGATCATCGGATGGTCGGTGGTTGGTCACAAGCGCCAAGCCGAGAGGGTTGGACGACCGAGATCTCGTCGTCAGAGGGGTTATAACGAACTTCCACGCGCATAGGCTAGTCGCGTCCCGCCAAGCCCCCCCGGGGGTTTCGCCCCAACCCAGGGTCGTACGGTACCGAGCACCGGGGGGGGAAGGGAGGGAACTTCGAGCAACTTGTCAAGTTCTCGTTGGAGGCTATGTGGGAGGGTACGTGTGGGAGGCCGTGGAAGGTAACGCACCTGCGTTGCAGCCCATTGAAAAAAACACCATTTGTTTTTTAATCGTGACAACCGGTGCCCCTCTGTATTTTTAGAATAGGCCGCCAGGTTATTCTGCAACAGCTCCTGCCGTAGTGCTGATCCAAAATAAATGACGAATGCATTGCTATCCATGGTGGTCAAGCTACACTGCTGTACCCGAGCACCAGAATTTTTTATACAGTTTCTAGACCACGACAGCGCTGCAAAGCCTGGCCAGAGGCTCCGTGAGGACATGAAAACGGAGATGTGGGACGTTTTTTTTTTCCACGCGCTAATTGCGCCGCTGCTAACTACTCGCGTTTAGAGGCAAGTTGGTGTCGATTCTACGTGACCTTTGCAGACCCATGGCGGGCGATATGACGCAGATCCAAAATTCTAGACCAGTGCATTGGGTTCTGTGGCTATCCTTCTGCCGTGTGGCCAAGTCACGAAGGACGTAGTCCCGTTTTCGGACCGCGACGGCCTGCGGAAGTTGGCCACCAAGAGAGCCAAAAAACAGGGTTTTCGCAACAGTACCCGATCGGCATGGTGAAGTGAAGAAAACCTCGAGCTGAAAGTGAAATCACGGCGTGAAAACTGCTTGCGGGCTATGATGGGCTCGTCTGCCAGTTTCATGGAGATCTGCGGTCTGTGCCAGTTGTACGAGTGGTGGCTAACAGGGCGACCTGGAATGGGCTGAGCAGCGATACTTCAGAGGGGTTCCGGAAAATTGTGGAGGTACCCATAGTTCTTTCGTCTCCATATTTTTTTCATTTTCCATGGGCTGCAACGCAGGTGAACGGAAGCTGTTTCGGGTGCGCGGGGGGGCGGGTTCCGAGCCGCGCACAGATGGCAACAGTTGGCGACTCTTCGAGCACAAGTGACCACCACCACCACCACCACCACCACCACCACAACAACAACAACAACAACAACAACAACAACAACAACCATCACCGCAGCCACAGGGGCAACAACTCTCACCGAAAATGACCACGGCAACAATACTTTGTACAAAACACCACAGCAACAGCCAAGTCCGTCCGTCGGGTTTAGTTTCTCACTTGGTGTGCGCCAGTAGCAGGTAGATGCCGTACACGACCGCGAAGGCTGTGATGAGGATCGCAGAGGAACGACGGATCCAGGGGGTCAGCCTGTTCCCGTAGTGCTGCGTGAGCACGGACGCCGCCATGAGAGCCAACGCGAGCGCGGCCAGTTTCGCCACCACCTGCGCGTCGTGGCCGGCCAACAAAAAAAGGACGGCAAGGGTTAAAGCCCCGTCTAGAAGCAGAAATTTCTCACGTCAACGACAGGGCGGATGGAAAGTGGCGCAGAGACGGGATATGCCGCGGACCAAGCGGCGTACACGAGACATGACGCGAACCAACAGCACGCGCACGCGAGGTACGACATGGACCACGTCGTCCAACATCGAAAAAGACTGGCGTGCTCGCAGACAAACCGCTCGCTACAGCCAAGAACAGCGTCGCATCGCACCGAGGACAGCACCTCTCCCCCCTGTCCTCTCATCGCTCGTTTAACACAACAGCCGAGACAGGTGTTGCATCGAACGGAGGATAGCACCCTCCCTCCTCTCTCATCACAATCGCACCTTGAGCTCCTTGTGGTCGAGCCCCAGCAGCTGCGGACCCCCGATGCCGTAGCCGATCACCACGTAGATGAGCGGCCGGACGAGGCCCTGCATCTTCTGGGTGAGCGAGAAGCGAGAGAGGTACGAGTTCTCCTCGCGCCACCACACCTTCGGGGATAAGGGTACGGTGTTTTGACACATTCCGGCATGGGCGCAAGCCAAAAGGGGAGGAAGTGACCAATTACATGATGCGGGACGAACCACGAGCTTGGGAGAGGGGCAACGGCGGCTACGGTCAGGCTTTCGACATGCGTAAAACGAGAAGAAATTAACGAACTAAAGAATACAGACATAACATGGGGACACGCGCTTCGGGAGAGGACAAAGGGTTCGTGTGAGAAACCAACGGAATTGGGGCGCAGGTCGAACATGAGTGACTAGTAGCCAAGAGTGACTTGTAAATCATTCCAAAACGACCAATACCCCCTAGGCACCGGGGTGCTCGCAACGTTGTTGGGGACGGGGCAAAAAAAAAAAAAACTCGAAGGCTGCGTTGGAAGTCACGTCTGGAGCGCTATGTATTCTAATAGCGCTTTTGAGGCACAAACCATCTCTGCAGCAGCTCCTTGTGTATCCTTGTCCAGTAGTACGTATCGCACCCCTTTCGCCCCTCCCACCCCTCCGCCCCCAACAGCGCGCTGTTTTCCTACCTCACTCACTGCCCGAAAAAAAAAAAAACATCTCGACCTCCCCCCCTCTCAAGAGGACGCAGGATGTACATGTAGCGCACCCTCCATGCGACTCGCCGAATACCTCACCGCCCTTCGCGCTTAGCGATGCGCTAGTCCGGTCCGGTGAAAACCCGGCGTGCTCCGTCCCGGCGATTGTAGTGATACGAGGTCAATGGTCTAACGACTACGGCAAGCACGGCTGTGAGTAAACCCCCAAAAACAAAAACACTGCCGCCATCCCGACCACAAGCTCACCTCCCAGCTGTTGGAGCCTGTTGCCGCCCGTGCCTGTCATCCAGCGCATCCAAATCTTGTAGTCCTGAACAACCTTGCCCCAGTGGAAGGACAGCGGGTTGAACCAGAAGGGGGCGAAGAGGAAGCTCAGGCACGCCAGCCACAACGACCAGGTCATGCCCAGGTACTGCTTGGAGCTGGTCATGGCGGCGGTCACGATCAACGCCGCCATGGGCGGCGCGGGAAAAAGGGAGAAACGGGAAACCCAAAAGGGGGGGGGGGGGGGGGGGGGGGGGGTGAGGGAAGCAGAAGAAGCAGCACCGTTATCGTAATCACCAAATGATGGGGTGAATGAAACCACAGGCAGCTACCCAGCTAGCTCTCGTGGCCGCAGCCAGTATCCCTTCGTTCAACCGTTTCCGGTCGTACTGCTAAGAGGGCGCCTTGGTATTTGTTCTCCCCGTGACACTACCCTACAGCGCCAACACCAAGAGGTTGCGTCACGTACATGTAGGGCACGACCACAAAAGCTAGCCGGTGCTTTCGGCACAAACACGAGAACGGCGCAATGCGAACGGCCGGAGGTCACCGGGCGGGGCTGTCCACGCAAACTCCCCTCGATAAGGGACGCTGAGAATCCATGCTCGGCCCCACACTAACCCCCTCGACACACAGTACCGATGAGAGAAAGGCAAGCGAAGACACAGGCAGCCAGGCAGCCAGGCAGCCAGGCAAGCAGACACACACCTCGAATCCGAGGTAGAAGTGCGAGTTGGCGAAGAACCGGTAGAGGTCGTCGAAGCACGAGTGGTGGGTCACGAAGCCCCTCCCCGTGGCCCGGTACTGCGCCCCTCCCGCCAGCAGTGTCTGGTAGAAGTAGTGCGCCCGCGTCTGGATGTGGAACATGAAGTACATGGGCCCGCCGCTCAGGAAGACCTGGAGGACCTCTCCGAGAGCGACGAGGAGACCCTTCTCGACCGTGAGGGTGGCAAGCATGGGCATCGTGTTGAGCAGGCCCATGCCCGCAAGCATCATCTGTTGTTGGAGGAGCGGGAGTGGGACGAGTCGTTTGTGTTGTGTAAATGTACAGGTAGGGAGGTCCAGGTACGGCACCCATTAAAGCAAGTTGGTGCATGTGTTGCATGAATGGAGCGCCAGGGGCAGCAGCTGTGGACAGCCCACAGACCTGCTGCCACGTTGACAAAAAAAAAGTGGCAAGATGTGAGTACGAGCGTAACGCAACCAAGGCACCGTGCATGCAGCCACCGCCGGTGCCGCTGCCAGCGTTCCTTCCGGCCACGGCAGTGAATAGTGAGCAACATCGAAACGACCATCACACTTCCAAACAACACTCGCGACGAAAAGCGCCACAACATCGTGCCACACATACGTACCATTGCTGCTCAGTCCGCCTGACAAAAGAAGACCTCTTGCGCTCCGACTTCGACCCCACCAAAACCGATACCATGGGACACCGGCGCTGAAGCGGTACGGTACGAGCGAAAATACTCAAAACAACCTCGGGTCCAAGCAAAAGCCCAAGCCCCAAGAGCAAACACAAGAGCCTCCTCCTCGC